TTGGATGATGGAGAAGGAAAGAGTGAAGCTTTACTGTGTTTTATAGAGGGAAGGAAAGGGGGATTTCGAACAAGACTAGTATCAATCACGTTAAACAGCCCACATGGACAGAACTTTCTTTCAGTTTTCTAACCGGGTTTTTCTCCATAATTCATGGTATCTTTAAAAAATCATTTTTGTGCTTTCCAGGTTACATTTTGAAAGGATGGGACTTTTTGGTTCTTTCCCTTTTTTGATCTTCCCTTATTATGAATCAATTTTTTAATATTTTCTTAGGCAGGATGGTTTGAACTTTAATGTCGGTGCATTCAGATGGCCTCAAGTGCGCTTGGTGCAGTACCTTGGGATTTCCCTCACAGCAACCGTGAGATTGATCCTATGGCTGGTAGATTGACTGGTTTAAAATTATTACCCCACTGCAAAAGTAACTAATTTTACACTAGTGCTTCTCCTAGCCATAGGATCAATCTGACTGCTTCCATGAAGCCCCTCGGGCTTGAGGTGATCCGTATCCTGTGTTGCTAATTACTGAGTAGGTGGGGACGTTAAATGGTGTCCACCAAATTACGCAAGAGAGCCGCGTTTTTTCTCGAGTCCACTTAGGGCTAATGACCAGGACCAAACATAAGATTACCTATCGGGCTATTTCCACTAAAATATTTCCTCCCTTTTTCTTTTTTTTATTTTATAAAATACAATTAACTGAATTGCATTGTCTAAGAAATTAATTAAAATTAGTTAGGTATATAATAAATATGTTAAAAATAAATTTTATTTTTTTAAAAAATACCTTCATTTAGATGAGAGTAAAATAGAAAGTTTACAAATAAATTTTGAGACGACTTCTAAGTATTTCTTATAAAAAAGAGCAAGTCATACCCAACATTGTATCTTATAAAAAGTAAAAGAGGGAGTAATAAAATATGGCATACCCGAAAAGTATTAAAATAGTAAGTAAATTAGCAACTAATATTACTCTTCCTATCTTTAATTTGAAATAAGAGTTATTTAACTAAATTTGATAGATAAATAGACCTAAATAAATTCCTTAATTTAGTAATATGATCTCCCAAAAAATACATTACGTAACAAAAGATTAAGTATTAATTTATAAGTTGGATAAATTGATTCGAGAAAAAATGATAAATGAATCAAGTTTTATATTTAAAATCACCTAAATTATATTGAAGGTCTCCTCCTTCAAAAATATTTATTTTAATTTTAATATATCAATATTCAATATTAAATATATTATACTATCTATGTATCCTGAATAATTGTACTTATTTTGGATCCTCCGTAAATACATGGGGAGTGATATAGTGGTGTAAGTCAGGGGAAAAAATATATATATAGTGATGTAGGAAAAATCTTTATCTAGAAAAAAGAGGTAAGAAAAATCTCTAGATATGGACAAAAATTGTAGTTGAGCCTTTCTCATAATTCAGTATGTACATATATCATATTTTTATTTATTTAAGAATATTAGAATAAACACTTGAAAAAATGTAGTTGAGTCTTTCGCATAATTCAATATGAACAAGCTTTTTGACAATTTAGCCTCCAGTCTAGCAATGAAATCCTGCACCTAAAATGCATATATGGGTAGTTTCGCTTTACCAGCAATTAGATCAGATATACACTTCATGTCTATGTCAATTTTTTATTTTAAAAAAAAGAAATGAAATTCTTATATAAAAAAATTCTAACCTAAAAAATTGCATATGGAATAAGAATTATTTTAAACCATTAAAAAATGAAGATTTTTCCAAGGATTAAAATTATTATTAGTATTTTTATGCTATCATCAATATTTTAAACAAATTTAATATCTGAAATTACTATTCATTTAAATATTTTTGAAAAAAATGAGTCTTAGGGCTTTTTAATCATTAAATTATTATTTAGCTTGATTTTTATTTGATTCTACCTATCACTCTAAGTGAAAAGTAGATGAAAAAAATAAGGAGCAACAAGCATTTGAATTTAATAGAAATGAGGGGAAGAGCGGAAGAAGGGAACAAGCACATGTGCGCGTGGGGCATGGAAATCAAATACAGAGGAAGATGATCTTTAATTTCAAAATGTTGAAATTATTACGGGGTCAGGAGAAACTGGGGCCCAACACCCTAAATTTTGTTTGGGAAGTTTTATTGATAAATTTAAAATAATTAATTAATTTTTATTATAAGTCACCAAATATGATATTACTTACAATTTTTTAAGATTGTTCCTATTTAAACTTTGATGCATTTTTTCTTTTTAACATGTAATTTATAATTTTAATTAATGATAAATTTGGAAATCTTTTTGGAGCAGAGATTACTTTTATCCATAAAATATTCGTAAAAGAGTTATATATAGTTGAAAGTCCTTTTTTTTCTCAACATCACCCAAAAAATATTAAAAAAGAAAAGTAATGTAATCCTAATAGTTAAAAAGCTAATATTTAGTATTAAAAAATTAATATTAACTGTTAATTATTTTTTTAAAAACTATAACGATGCTATTTTTTTTAATATCTCTGAGACAAGGTCGAGTTAATAAAAATTTATGAATATCCACGAATGTTTTGCGAATGGTTTCACAACAACAATACTCTTTTTTATCCAAATTTTTATCCAATTTTTTTAATTATCAAACAAAATTTAATGACTTCACCAATTTTCTTTAATTTGGGTAAACTGGTTGGTACAGAGGGTCATAAAAAAAATAACAACAAAATGAAAAAGAAATCATAACTGATGAGAAACTTTTTGGTGTGGTGTGGATGGGGACCGAGGGATTGCATCTTTCTCTTGAAACGAGGCAGTGCATGTGCTTTCTCTCCACATTCCTCAAATCAAAAAGATCTCCCCACCAAAATGAAAACCCAAGAGTATCGCCAAAAATTAAAAAATGAAAACCCAAAAGGGCCAAGGCAATCGGATTTTTTTTTTTTTTTTGTATTTTTGGCTTGAAACATTATTCTCTTGCTGTGCTTAACGTGTACACTAAATATGAATATCTTTTTTAATAAAGATTTAAATTTTTTGTCATGTTACAAGAAATTAACTCTTTTCCCTATGTCGGTTGGAGGATTATAAAATTAATACTCTTCCGGTCCTTAATATAAGACCCATTTAACTAATTTGATTAGATTAAAAAAGTTAGGTAAGTTAGTTAATTATAAGAAAAGTGACACATTTTTCCTAAAATACCATAATCATCTTTCTTAATACCCTCTCTTCCTCTTCTACTTGATTATGGTTGAGGGAGTATCCATAGGGGTAATTTAGAGAAAAATGATAGATATGAGAAATGGATCTTATATTTAAAACCAAAACCAACTCAAAAATTGGGTCATATATTAAGGACCGGAGGAGTATAAAGCCATGAGCACGAATTTGTCACTGTAATTGCCAAAACACGTTCCGGGGAAAAAAATTGTAAGTTCCTCCTTCAGGTTGACCATTGATGGCATTCCAAGATCATAAATGGACTCTTGTCCGGTCTTATCCCTTCTTTTTCATTACTATTTATTATGTCCATGTGAATGGTAATGGGCTATGCATTCTTCCATTATTTTATTTTACTCTCTTGCTTCCTGATTTAGTTTCTGAAAAATTATTCTCACACTTCTAAATATAAGAGCTACTTAGAATATTTGTTTATTTTAGTTTTAAATATAAAATTCACTTTATTTTATCTTCTGGATTTATAATTTTTTTCAAAACTATTCATATTAATTACATATGTTAAAAATGATTTTCGTTAAGGGATTTGTATTGAAACATGGTAGTTTAACATAACCAAAATATAATTTTAACAAATAATTAATTTAATCATTTTTTTTAAATTTCTGTAGAGTGCAGTTTACATATTTATATCTTATATTAAGAATTGGACGAAGATTCAATTTTTAAAACTCAATGACCAAAATGATAGGGAAGTTTATCCCCTCCATATTCTTCAACGCAATACAAAGTCTTTATATGACTCTCTCTCTCTCTCTCACTAATTAAAATACTATTCCGGAGGATCTAAATTCATCCGAAGTGTCTACAAACGTCCATTTGGAAAAGCCCTCCTTTTCTGGGGACCATATTGCAAAAAAATCTTGGCCAATTCAAACCATCTTTATTACCAATGGAGTTAAGTCTAATAAAAAAAAAGTTAGTTTTTTTACAGCTCCGTGAATCAATGTTCTTTTTTTTTAATGAAAAAAGTATTCACGTTTACCATCCCAGCTGTGTTTTGAACATGATTATTTGAAAAAACAGTCATTTTTGAAAAAGTAGAATTATTTTTGTTTTGCTACGCATTATTATCTTATTAGAGATAATCTTATTTAAGATATTGTTAGACACTAAATGTGGGCATTTCTTTCAATAGAGATTCAAACCTTCATGACATCGTAATAGATTAACCTATTCCGCCAAACCTAACCCTTGTTGTTAGTAAAAAAAAATTTCTTTTTTCTTTTGGTTACAGATAAGTAAAATAACATTAAAAGTAGTATTTTTTTTGGTACAAGAAAGTTTAGGTGAGTTGGGTCTTGGAAGCTTACTAGGGCTAAGGTATGCCTCTAGGCTCAGAGAGCGCTTATAAAGGTACTTACAGATCACCTACCAACAAAGTCTTCACACTGGCAGTGAGATTTGAACTCACGATCTTATAAGTTATGAGTTGACTCCTTACCAACTAGACCGATTTTTGTTGGTATATTAAAAGTAGTTGTTGGCAGTAAAGTTGTTGTTATGCATTAAGGGCCAGGGGGTATATATTAGTTCCAGGCCTGTGGATCTTGGGCGGTTTGGCCCACTTCATGTTCTTGTTGGACATTAACCTCTTATTATCGTAAAGATGTCCCCCGCTTCAGTTAGACAAATTGATTGTTCAAGGCCCAACAACAAAAAGGCCGTTAGATGGGCTTACATAAGAGATCTTGATGGCCCAAAAGCCCATTTGAGAGCCCAAAACTCTCAAAACGCCAAACTCAACCGATTTTAAGAGGCTTCAAGGTGGAAACCAGCGGCACAGTCAACTATGTCACATGCTCCCTCATGTCATGCTTAATAAAACTACCCACCCATGCGGGGGCAACGCCAGACCCAAAAACGACGTCGTCCCCACCGCCCCTTTCCCCTCCCTACCGCCGTACAATCATGACGCCCACCGCCTCTCCCCCGCCTCGATCGTCCCACCCTTCCTCGTGAGTGCTGTCGGCGCCACCTCGTCCTGGCTTCGTAATCGTCGGATTCGTTACCTCTTGATCCTGCTTTGCTCCCCTCTCCTCCTTTGCCTCCTCTTCTTCGCCTTCCCTTTCCTATGCGCCGTAGATCTCTGCCTCCGCCGCTGTCTCTGGCGGAAATTCTTCCGCGATTCCCGCGACGATGATCGGCTGAGACGATGCGAGGAAGGTTGCAGTGGATGCGGTGGCGATGAGGAGAAGGGCCTCTTGCATAGGTACTTGGAGGATCAGCTTCGTCTGGTCGGATCTATGTATGAGTGTGGGGATGATGAAGATGAAGAAGCACAAGAAGAATTTCGAAGGGCCCTAGACGTTGAGAATCTGCACAGCAGTATGACTCCTCTATTGAGCTGATCAATTCCCTTTACTTTTTTTTTCCGTTTTTTTGGGGATGAATAGAAAAATTTTCGTTTTGCGAGTTTGTGTAGACAAATATCTAACTTTGATGCTTGATAATTGTAGATTTTTCAACTGTATTGAAGATTTGACTTTTTATTAGTGGTTGCTACTTGCATCTCACCTTTGGTTTTTTCTCGCCATCTTGGTAACATTTCCCCCCAAAAATTACTGATTCTGGCAAAATTGTAACATTTAAATTACGCAGAGATATTGTCAGCTTTAGTCCCGTCTGTTTCTTAGTTCCAAGTTTTTTCTTGTTATAGTATATCAGAATTATATTACAAGAAATGAAACTTTAAGTTCGAAGCTTGACAAACTTTACTTTAGAAAAGATTATTATGCCCATTAAAAAATAGGAAGCATTGCATATAGTCTCTTCAAATGGAACATTGATTTTGCTGTGAGTTGCAGTGATGTATCTAATTAACTCCAGAGCTTCAAGCTGTTTGCTACGCCTTGTTTTGTGTGCGCTCGCGCACTCTTTTTTCCCAAGAAGGTAGGTAACGTGGAGAAATAAGAATTTGGATTCTTTGATACCAAATCGTTTCTGAACTTTCACACACACACACACACACACACAGAGTGATGCAAATAGGTGGAGATGATTCTTTTGGTTTAGATGCGTATCAAGTTTATGAATTCAGGGGATACAAATCCAGAGAAGAACTTACACACCCTTAATGTTGTTCACTTTGTGGGCTGTATGTGACAGCTGTGGGAAAATACCATTTCCCTCACAATAGTTGGAGTGAAGCTTCATGAAGCAGCCATATGATTGATCATTTTCTTTTGGAGTATCAGCTATTAAACTTAAAATGTTTGATGAGGTAGTTTTATTCCAATTGTTCTTAGACATTCATCCTTGTTAAATCTGTAAGAATTTTAAGTAAATATTCGGTTGTAATTTATAACCAAGGCAGCCCAGATGCATCTGCTGATATATTCTTCATGTTTTGTATTGGCCAAAGAGATTTACGGTTATCTTGGAGGGTGCATGGAATGAAGACGGTGAAGTATGGCTTAAATTAAAGAACATGTTGTTGGGTCGGGGACGAGGAAGCATCCTCTGTTGATCACTGTAACTACTCGCAGGGAGAAAGTAGGAAGGATTATATATGGACATCCACTTGATCCATTAAGATGCATGACATTTTTTAGTGATCCTCGGCTTCAGCACTTTTTGTTGCTCTAGAGGAATAGATCTCTAACACGATTTCCTACTTATAAAAAGTTTCAATGCCACTATACCTCAAGACTATTGGCAGCTTCTGTAGGTTTTGGGGCCAATTTGAAAGTTCTCTTTGAGAGTATAAAAGTCTATTTGGTATGATAAAAATAAAGAAAAACTTTTTTAATGAATTTCATTTTGAAAAAAATAGGAGAAGTAGGATTACAAGTGTTTAATTAAATTTTTATCTTATATTTTTTATTAAAATTTTATAATCACACTTCTTCAATTTTTCAAAAATTGAAGTCGTTTAAATTTTTTCTCTTCTCCCTCCACTTCCTTTATGCCAAACCGATGGTAAGGGCATTGATGTTAATTTGAAATTTGATTTGAATGTTTATTACGCTACTATTGAGCTGTTTTTATGAATTTTAATAGCCATTTCAGGCTTTATGTGGATTCTTGTGTCTATGATATAATAAGTTAATAACAGTACACGTAGGTCATAATTTATAAAATTTACAAGTCCCATCCGTACTGTCTTAAAGAAGAATGGGAAGTAATTGAACAAACGTTTTATCTCAATATGATATCAAAAGGTCATAGGACTGGCTTTTGAGTATATGAGAAAAATTCATCAAAATTTTTAGGTTAAAGCATACTAGTTCTTTAACTTTACTTAAGATTTCATTTTAGTTTCTTAACTTTAAAAGTATGTTTTTAGTCTTTTAACCTTAAAATCATTTGCAAAAAACAATGATATTGATATCTTGTATGTTGGTAAAATATTTTTAAATGGTAACATATTAAGTTTAATTTTTACGAGAACTATGATTGTTACAGAAAATCATCATTTAATATTAAAGATTTTAGAGTTAAAGAACTAAATGTATATTTTAGTAAAATTTTTATTTTTCATTATCATTAGAATTGGATTCACCCAAATACCAAACTTTTTAACAAAAAGGAAAACCTCCACTTCAGCATCTAAAATGGATTCAAAATCTCTGAAGAACTAATTTTGTAACCGTTAAATAAATTAAGTACCGCATAAAGGAAAGTCTATAATTAGATTATTGTTATAGGCTTTGTGTTTTGTACGTATTTTGTGAGAATGATGAATTAGGGGCAACCTTTTTTTATTTTTTTTATTTTGCCACCGAATTAGGGGAACCCTTCCTAAAAGATAGTCTTTAATTGTCCTTTCATTTTGCTGTTTACATGGATAGTGTGAAATCTAAGTTTTTTTGATAGTGATGAAATTCATAATAATTACCATCTTTTTTTTTTTTAAATGATGAGCAAAGAGGAAGTTATGAGCCTCTTCGAGTACCATGTTATTAATGCTCTTTCAGATCATAAGAGTCAAAATATATGTGAGGGTATACACTTGAAGAGATGGATTATTTTACATAAAAAGAAAATTCGGGGGAAAAAAATAGAATGTCTGTGCATCGAAAAAATGAACAAATAATTGCATTTGATTTGAAATTGTATTAATAAATAATTGATGGGATATGAAACAATGACTTATTAGGATTTTCAAATATTCAGCTTTATTAGAAAAAATTTAGAAATATTTTTTTTAATTTTAATTGATCGTTATCTTTTTACATCTATTCTTTATTGTTATCTTTTCATTTCATTTTAGAACTTTTTACAATATTATGTATTTAATTCTTTGGATTAGATTTGAGTTTATATATAGTTTTTCATCTCATCTCATTTTGCAAGGTACCTATGGATTGGATAAATTTTGGTTTGAGTTCTCTCTTTCATTCTCTGTATTTTTTTTATACCTCTTTTTCTCCCAGCTAGTCTCTCTTTTCTGTTACCCTTTTCTCCTTCTCCATTAATAGCTACTATCGTTATTGACCAGACATTAAAATGTAGCTCTTCACAAGTATCTAATAGGTTGTTTTTGAACCATTTTTCTATCATTAGAATGTTTGAAACTTGCATGAGTAAGAGTGTGTTTGTCATCACGTTTGAAAGCCTAACCTGACTTCCCAACCGGTAAAAGTTGGGCTTGTGTGACTCGTTATGTTTGGCTCAATGATTTGGCAATCTGGTTTTTCTGTCTCAAATGGGCTCTTTCCATAAGCTACATCATCTTACTTTAGACGGTGAAGACCAGCGGTGCAGTAAAGAAAACTATTAGAGAGCATTTATTATTGTATTTAAAATTTTTTACCTACCCATTTACCCTTTTGCATGCATAACTCCTCTCTGGGAAAAAAGGAAAAGAAGAAAAAACAGAGCTAGCAGCTTCTAATTTTTTCATTCATTTATTTATTTATCCATTAAATGTATTTAATTAAGCATTTCAGTATTTTTTTTTTCAATTTCTTGATAATAATAAATTAATTTTTTATTTCTAATAATTTTATTTTCAATAATATATTAAATGTATATTACTTAATAAAATTTATATCCTTTTAAATCATTTTGTATCTAAACTGATTTTTTTTTATTAATCATTCAAATAACTTTTAATTTCTTAAACTGAAATGTTTTACGAAAACCAATCCAAACATAATCACTTACCCTGTCTGATTTTTACCCAAACACATCCTAAGACAAGTATCAGAATTTATGCAATTTCCTCGAATAACATAATCATGTATTTGTCTCCACTTTTCACTTTGAGAAATACGAAGCATCTCTTGGTCGGTTCTTTTCTTTCCACCTAATCCCGTTGCTGGCTTTATAGAACTAACTTATAATTTCCTTGTAAATAATAAAGTTGTTTTACAATGCAAGTAATCAATTAACTGTTTGCTTTCCAATGACATTCTCATTAGAACTGTTATTATAGCTTTGGCATTTTCTGCTGGGCTAATTAAAATTTGTCAAAAGTTTATAATTCTTAGTAACTTGTTCGAGATAGAATACCCACATAGCGGTTACTTGTATGTGTTGAATAATGGCTCCAATATCAATCAACTACACATAAGGAAACTGAATGGAGAATTTACATATTATTGGACTGAAAAATACTGTACATCTCATGGATCCCCTGTTTATGATTCAAGGGCCAATCCCTATTTATACAATAAATAATCAGAAGGAAGTAAAACCAAGAAGGTTAAAGAAGGCAGGTGTTGTATTGAGTAATACGACACACTAATAATTACAAAGGGTTCTATTTTAACACCCCCCTCTAGTTTGGGGCTGTACAAATCTATAGTCCCTAACTTACCTAATAATTTCCTTTGTACATCTCCCCCAACTGCTTCGGTCAGAATGTCTGCTGTTGATCAATGGACTTTACATGTTTTAAATCAATTTGCTTCAGCTCCCACTTTTCTCTGATGAAGTAGTAGTCTACCTCTATGTGTTTAGTATGCTCATGATAAACTGGATTAGCTGCTATATGAATAGCTGCCTGGCTGTCATAGAAAACATTCACTAGTTCCTGATGCTGAATTTTCAGATCTTTAAGCAATCCTAATGCCCATATAATATCAGATGTAGTCATGCTCAACGCCCTGTATTCAGCCTCAGAAGAAGACTTGGAAACTGTGTTTTGCTTCTTTGTCTTCCATATTACTAAAGATCCAGCAAACTTAAGTAAATACCTAGTAACTGAGCGCCCCGTTGTACCACATGAAGCCCAATTAGAGTCACAATAACACTCCAATTGAAGTCTTCCTTCTAAACTTAGAAATATTTCCAGTTTGTCCCTTTAAATATCTCAGCACTCCTCTTGCAGCACCCATGTGTGCTTTGGTTGGACAATGCATAAATTGACTTAGGGTCTGCACACAAAAAGAAATGTCAGGTCTGGTCATAGTCAGGTATATTAACTTACTGATCAATGTTCTGTAGCTTTCTGGATTGCTCAATAACTCCTCCTTCTTGCTTTTACCTTTTTAATAAGGCATAAGCTTGAGGTTCTGTGGAAAGGGAACAGCCAAGGGCTTGCACCCACTCATTCCTATTTTAGAAAGTAAATCTAGGACATATTTCCTTTGGGATAACACTATCCCTTTTTCAAACTTAGCCACTTCTATATACCAAGAAAGTATTTCATTAACCCAAGATCCTTAATTTTGAAAGTATTATGTAGAAAACTTTTTGCAAGTTTAATTCCTTTTTCTGAACTTCTAGTTATCAACCAGAATTAAAACAATACCATCATCACAGTTCTTAATGAATAAAGAATAATCATTCCTAATTTGTTTGAAACCCCCTAATTTCAAAGCTTGTGAGAGCTTTTGATTCCACTGTCTAGAGGCTTGTTTCAAAGGATAGAGAGATTTTCTTAATTTGCATACCATGTTCTCCCTCTTAATGTCAAATCCCTTAGGAATTGACATATACGCTTCCTCATCAAGGTCTCCATGCAAAAAGGCATTATGTACATCCATTTGGAACAAATTCCATTTATTTACAGCAGCTAATTTCAATACTAATCGAACAATAAACATATTAACCACAGGGGAAAACATTTCATGATAGTCTATCCCCTCTTTTTGATTGTATCCTTTAGCAACTAAGCTAGCCTTATATTTATCTATACTCCGATCAGAATTATATTTGATTTTATACACCCACTTGCATCGTATGGGCTTTTTATCTTTAGGCCATGGGACTATGTCCCAAGTATGGTTGCTCTTAAGAGCCTTTATTTTGTTTTCTATTGCTTTTATCTAATTTTCATCTGGAGCTGCTTGCTGATATCTTGTTGGTTCAGATGCAGAGTCAATGGCATTGAGAAAGCATATATAATCAGGAGAAATATTAGAGTAAGACAAGTAGTTGTGAATAGGATACTTACATCTCTTCTGCTGCTGTTTTGGTTCAGTTCTAGAAGTAAGGAGGGAACAAACATAATCATTAGACCAGATAGGGGGCCTTCTATCCCTAATGGGTCTAGTTAGGATAGATTAAGGTTGATTGTTGATTTCATTTTGGTCATTAAAAACATTTGTTTCATTTATGTTTGTTAATTCATGATCTTCACCATTGATTTCATTATTAATTGGAATTCTTGTACTATTTTGCATCTGTAAAATTTCTAGTTCAAACCAGAACATTTCTTTCAAGTCTTTATTCACTCCCCCTTGTTTTTTTCTCACAACATCCTTAAAGGGAAATTTATTTTCGAAGAAATTTACATGTCGACTTACCGAAATTGTTTTTGTGTTTAAGTCAAGGAGGACAAAACCTTTTTGATTTTTGGGGTATCCTAGAAAAACACAAGGAATGGCTCTAGGTTGCAGTTTATCAGTGACCCTAAGATCTATGGCATAAGCTAGAGAACAAAAAAATTTCAAATTATTCAAATCAGGTTTGGTTCCATAAATCTTCTCATAGGGTGTTTGGTATCCTAATATTTTAGAAGGAATTCTGTTTACTAAATAAACAGCCATTTTTACACACTCACCCCAAGATTCCACAGGGACATTTGATTTCAACATTAAACTTCTAGTTATCTACATTATTGTTCTCTGTTTTCTTTCAATTACTCCATTTTGTTCTGGAGTGTGGGGACAAGAGGTTTCATGGATAATGCCTTTTTCTTATAGAAAGCTTCTCAATTCATTATTCTTAAATTATGATCTATTGGCACTTCTAATTTTCTTAACATGCGTGTGAAATTGAGTTCATATGTAGGCAGAGAAATTCTTAATATGCATAACTGATTCAGATTTATTTCTCATTAAAAATATCCAAGTTCCTCTAGAGAAGTCATCGACTATGGTCAGGAAATAGTGATAGCCATGATGTGTTAGAGTCCTATATGGATGATAACCTCTCAAAATTCCTACTGAATTAAGCTGATTTAACATTCTTTTATTGGGTTTATAAGTCAATTTTGCAGGAAACAAAGCCTGAGGAGAGTAAAGAATGGAGAAAGAGATGAAAAGAAGCCATCCGCCGTAGCCTATGGAAGAAAATGCCGCGGCGGATCACACAGAAAGGGAGGACTGCGCCTCTGTGAAATCCGCCGCGGCGCCCTGCTGCATCCGCCGTGGCGCCCAAGCTACCTCGGAAGCAACCTGTTCGGTGAAATCTGCCGCGGCGCCTTGCTGAATCCGCCGCGGCGCCTGGCCCCTCGCTGCTGTGCGTTTTACTTCCTAACTTAAAAAATTAGGGCATATAGAGGTGGACACGGGGGTTTTCAGAGAGAGTTCGACTTTTGGAGCAATTTTGGAGGCTGGCTCTGCTAGGGTTTGGAGTTTTGGAGGCTTGGAACCTTTGGGCTTGAAGCTAGAAGAGATTCAAAGCTTGTATCTTGAATTTTCTGGGTTTCCTTCTTCTTCCCTTCTTGTTTCTGCTATGACTACTAGATACTCCTATAGTTGTAGTTCTTTACTTGCCATGTATAGCTAAATCCGTTTTTCTAGGGTTATTTTGATCTATTGTATGGATTGAGACTTGGGTTTTACTATCTCTTTAGTGTTAATGATAATATTCAGTTGTTTTTACTTTGAGCTTAATGCTTCCTTTTGTCTGGCCATCATTTGGATTGATTGATTGATTAGTTTAACTTGAGAAAGTTAAACTAATTCGTGAACTTAGGTAAAAACATGCTAGTCCAGAAATTTATTTGAGTGAATAGATGGTTTGTCGATTGATCAGAGATGTATTTGTTGACCTAGCATAGACTAAATGGGTTTTGGTTTTTAAAGAGCAACCTTTTCAAACAAATGCAAGAGATTGCTGTGTTTTAATGGTGTTTGCAACATTTGGTTTTGACTTGAGAAAGCTTAATCAATTCTATAAACCCAAGCTAACTGAATTTATTGTAAAACACTATTTGAGAAGTAATTAATCCAGTTTCATGAAGTACTTTAGTGAAGAATAACCCTAGTCTATTAATTGTTTCAAGGTCGATTTGATTTTATACTGCTTTAAACCATTGTTTTCTTAACTTTCATTTCACAAACTCTTTTACAACAATTATTTCACTTAACCTAATCAAATACACAATTATGATTTTTCAACTCATCTAGCCTTAGTCTCTGAGGGAACGATACTTTTTATATTACTTGCGACCCGTCCACTTGCGGTCAAGTTATTTGGTGAACAACTTTTTGGTGCCGTTGCCGGGGACTAACGGCTAGAGTTTTTGAGGTTGATTGTCCTTATTGTGTGCTTGGTTACGCTTAAGTTCCATTTAGCATTTGTAGTAATTATAGGTAGTAGCAGTAGTTTATTTTGTTCATTTCTCTTGATAAGTTTGATACTTTTGTTTTTGATTTGAATGTGCAGGTAACCCCTGACGCATGCAAGGAAGACTGGAAGTTATTGTGGAAGAAGTTATTGAAGAAGTATCCAGGTCGGGAGAAACTGAAAACACACCGGAGATTCAACAACAAACTCAGTTACTTCCGCCGCCGCTGCCGTCCACCACCACCACCTGAATCAGAATCAGAAGAAAACATGGCGGAGGAAGATGAGAACGATGTGTACACCCTGGATGACTATTTGGATAAAGAAGGGCAGACTTTTCACTCAAGTATCCGGTTACCAGACATTCAAGCCAGGAATTTTGAAATCAAGCCCGTTATGATTCAACTACTGGGGATGATGGGTACTTTTGAAGGAAATTTTAAGGATGATCCGAATGAGCATTTGACCAAGTTTATAGAGGTTTGTGAGAACTTCAAACAAACTGGGGTTACTAAAGATGCACTGAGATTGAGATTGTTTCCCATGTCATTATCTCACAAGGCGAAAACATGGTTGAATTCTTTACCTGAACACTCCATTAAGACTTGGGATGATCTTGTGTCTAAGTTCAAGGGCAGATTTATTCCAAGGGGCAAACGTGCTACTTAAGGGGTGAATTGCTTTCTTTCGAGCAGCATCCGGATGAGTTATTTTATGAGGCTTGGGAAAGATTTAAGGATATGTGGAGAAATTGTCCAAATCATGAGCAGAAGAAATATGTTCTAATGGAAGCTTTCTGGAATGGGTTGAATGATCAGACAGTGACAATGCTGAATACCGCTTCAAACGGAGGAATCGAAAAGATGAAGGTAAATGAGCTATATGAACTGTATGAAGAGGTGGCATCTAGCACTATGCAACAGTATAACAAGAGAAGGCAAAGTTCTGGGAGATATAAGGAGCCTAGTTCTTCATCATCAAGGGATATTGCATCGCAACTTGAAGCAATATCTAAGAGATTTGACAATCTGGAATTGCAGATTAAGAAAGGAAATGCTGCAGGAGTTCATGCACTTCAAGCTCCGGGATACACTTGTGACCATTGTAATGAGGAACACCATTCTGATCAATGCCCATACACCTTGGAGACAGTCAATTATATGAATAATGCACAAAGAAGACCACAAGGGAACCTTATTCTCAAACTTACAATCCAAATTTGAGAAATCATCCAAATTTCTCTTGGCGAAATGGGCCAAGTTGAATCCCCCACAAATATTACCATCCGGTGCTAAACAAATGGGGCCTCCTGGTTTTCATGGTCAACCACAGCAACATCAATTGCAACAGCAGCATCCTCAAAAGGAAGATTCCAAAATTGAGAAGATGTTTGCTCAATTATTGCCAATCAAGAATCTGCAAGGGCTGAGAATAAGGCAACATTTTCTCTCCATGAAACTGCCATCAAGAATCTCGAGGTGCAAATGGGTCAACTGGCTTCACAAATGAATGTACTCACAAGAAGCAGCTTACCAAGTGATACCATTCCCAATCCAAAAAGGGATGGTAATGAAGAGTGCAAAGCGATCAGTTTGAGAAGTGGAAAGCAATTACCTGACATTCAGAGGCCTAGTCAGACCGGCAAGGACATCACTAACAGTATGGCGACTGACCTTGATACAAATGAGCTTTCAGAAGAAGGTGGTATAGTAGAAGAGGAAGAAACCAAGAAAAGGAAACAAACAGAAGAAAATCTCACTGATGTGGTTCGAGGAAAGAAGGTAGAGGGTGAAATGGTTGATGATAAAAAGAGGAAGACAACTCCCCCTCTTGCTACACAGATGCCGCCGCTTCCATTTCCTCAAAGGTTCAAGAAGAAAGATGAAGATGTCCAGTTCAAGAAATTTGTGGACATGTTTAAGCAATTACACATCAACATCCCGTTTGCTGAAGCATTAGAGCAGATGCCTAAGTATGCTAAGTTTCTTAAGGATGTTCTCTCCAAAAAGAAGAGATTTGGTGAATTTGAAACGGTGGCTCTGACTGAAGATTGTAGTGCCATCTTGCAGCGAAAACTCCCACCCAAACTGAGAGATCCAGGCAGCTTTTATATTCCTTGTAACATAGGCAAACACTTCAATGGAAAAGCCCTATGTGATTTGGGAGCAAGTGTTAACTTGATGCCTCTAGCTGTATTTAATCGATTAAATTTGGGTGATGCAAGGCCAACAACAGTTACATTGCTCTTTGCCGACAGAAGTATCTCATATCCAAAAGGGATTGTAGAAGATGTCTTGGTGAAGGTAGACAAATTCATATTCCCAGCTGATTTCATTGTGTTAGACTGTGAGGTAGATTGGAATATCCCCATTATTTTGGGACGGCCATTTTTAGCTACTGCAAGAACCCTCATTGACGTAGAAAAGGGTGAGATCACCATGCGAGTAAATGATGAGAAGGTGATATTCAACATGAATCAAGCCTTGAAGTTTCCAGATGATTCTGCTCACTGTAATTGTATTGATGTGATTGATTCCACGGTGCAAGAGGAGCTGATTAACTCTTTGACCAAAGACCCATTAGAAGCATTGTTGATTGGAGAAACAAGTAGTATTGATGGCAAGGTTGAAGCTTATGCAGAAATGATGAGTATTGAAGCGTTTCCGTATCGAAAAGCTAAGACTTTTGAGCCTCTAGATGTGACTAGTGCTTTGAGCTCTCCTCTAAAGCCTTCTGTGGATGAACCGCCGGTGTTGGAGTTGAAGACTTTACCATCACATCTCAAGTATGCCTACTTGGGTAATTCTACCACTTTACCTGTGATTGTTTCTTCTAAGTTGTCCACGTTGCAAGAAGAGAAACTGTTAAGGGTCTTGAGACACCACAAGAAAGCTATTGGGTGGTCCATAGCTGACATCAAAGGGATCAGCCCTTCTATTTGTATGCACAAGATTTTATTAGAGGATGGTCACAAACCTTCTATTGAGCATCAAAGGAGATTAAACCCAGTTATGAAAGAGGTAGTCAAGAAAGAGATCCTTAAATGGCTTTCTGCTGGAATAGTCTACCCTATTTCTGATAGTTCATGGGTGAGCCCAGTTCAATGCGTCCCTAAAAAAGGCGGTATAACTGTAGTGGCTAACACCCAAAATGAGCTAGTTCCAACTCGTACTGTGACTGGGTGGAGAATTTGCATGGATTATCGAAAGTTAAATACAGCAACCAGAAAAGACCATTTCCCGCTGCCATTTATTGATCAGATGTTGGATAAACTTGCTGGGCAAGAATTCTTTTGTTTCTTGGATGGGTATTCAGGATACAACCAAATTGTAATAGCCCCAGAAGATCAAGAGAAAACAACCTTTACTTGTCCATATGGCACGTTTGCTTTCAAAAGAATGCCATTTGGTCTTTGCAATGCTCCAGCAACATTTCAAAGATGCATGATGGCCATCTTTGCTGACATGATTGAGAAAACAATTGAAGTGTTCATGGATGACTTCTCTGTTTTTGGAGATTCTTTTGATTGTTGTTTAGATAATTTGGCGGCTGTTTTGCAAAGATGTGAAGAAACTAATTTGGTTCTGAATTGGGAAAAATGTCACTTCATGGTGCAAGAGGGCATTGTCCTTGGTCATCGAGTATCCAAACAAGGCCTAGAAGTTGACAAGGCAAAGATATCTGTTATTGAGCAATTGCCTCCACCAACAAGTGTTAAGGGTATTAGAAGTTTCTTGGGTCATGCGGGATTCTACCGTCGTTTCATTAAAGATTTCTCTAAAATCACTAAGCCTTTGTGCAATTTGTTGGAGAAAGATAGGGAGTTCAAGTTTGATGACACTTGTATGAACTCTTTTGAGGAATTAAAGAAGAAGCTCACCTCAGCACCCATTTTAGTGGCACCTAATTGGGAGCTACCCTTCATCATTATGGCAGATGCTAGTGATTTTGCCGTTGGAGCAGTTCTAGGACAAAAAGTAGATAAGGTCTTCCATCCCATCTACTATGCTAGTAAAACTTTGGATGATGCCCAACTTAACTACACTACTACTGAGAAAGAATTGCTTGCAGTGGTGTTTGCTTGTGAGAAATTCCGGTCTTATATTGTGGGCACCAAAGTGACTATCTATACGGACCACTCTGCCCTAAAGTATCTGTTTACCAAGAAAGATTCCAAGGCACGCCTAATTCGATGGGTCCTTTTGCTTCAAGAATTTGATTTGGAAATTGTTGATAGGAAAGGCACTGAGAACCAAGTGGCCGATCATCTATCTCGATTAAGTAGTGAAGCTCAACATGATCATTGTCAAGAGATCAATGCAGCTTTTCCCGATGAATGCTTGTTCTTTGTGGATAACTCAACTACTCCATGGTATGCAGATCTGGTTAATTATCTGGTTTGTGGAACTCTGCCACTAGACCTTAACTCCCATCAAAAGAGGAAATTTCTTCACGATGCAAAGATGTACTTCTGGGAAGAACCTTATTTGTTCAAAAGATGTGCCGATCAGATGATAAGAAGATGTGTTCCGGAAGTTGAGCAGCAAGATATTCTAGAGTGTTGCCACTCTTCAGCTTATGGTGGGCACTTTAGAGGAGAGAAAACGGCTGCCAAAGTCCTTCAAAGTGGTTTTTATTGGCCTTCACTATTTAAAGATGCATATGCCTTTGTGATTCGATGTGATCGATGTCAACGAGTGGGAAACATATCAAGAAGGAATGAAATGCCTCTGAATAATATTCTGGAAGTTGAACTCTTTGATGTATGGGGAATTGACTTCATGGGCCCGTTTCCAAAGTCTCTAAATCAAGAGTACATTCTGGTTGCTGTGGATTATGTCTCGAAATGGGTTGAAGCTACTGCATGTGTATCCAGTGATGCTAAAACGGTGATCAAATTCTTAAAGAAAAACATCTTCACGAGATTTGGAGCACCTCGGGCTATTATTAGTGATGGTGGTTCTCACTTTTGCAATCATCAATTTCAAGCTCTGATGAAGAAATATGGTGTAAAGCACAGGGTAACTTTGGCTTATCATCCTCAGTCAAATGGCCAAGCAGAAATATCCAACCGAGAGATCAAAAGCATTCTTGAGAAGGTAGTAGGTGCAACAAGAAAAGATTGGTCATTAAAACTGGATGATGCTCTTTGGGCCTACAGGACAGCATATAAAACTCCGATTGGGATGTCTCCCTATCGGTTGGTGTTTGGAAAAGCATGTCATTTGCCTGTAGAATTGGAACATGGAGCTTATTGGGCCATAAAAAAAGCTCAACTTTGACTTTCAAGCTGCTGGTGCAAAAAGGCTCCTACAACTGAATGAGTTAGAGGAATTTCGCCTTAATGCCTATGAAAGTGCAAGGCTCTATAAGGAACGGACCAAGAAGTATCATGATCAGAAAATTATTCCCAAGGTCTTTGAAGCGGGGCAAAAGGTGTTACTTTAATTCCAAATTGAGACTATTTCCGGGCAAACTCAAATCACGTTGGTCAGGGCCATTCACTGTGGTACAAGCTGCTAACCATGGTGCGGTGGAGCTGGAAAATGAAAAAGGTGAAAGATTTCATGCAAATGGCCAACGTTTGAAGCATTATTGGGGTGGAAAGGTGGATCGTCAAGTTTCTACGATCTACTTTGCTGAACAATCATAACAGAGCTGAAGAGTCAGGCTGAAGACTATAAACCAAGCGCTACTTGGGAGGCAACCCAAGCTCTAAACTTGCCTTTGATGTGTTTCTTTATTTCGGTTTGTTTTAGTAGATTTATGTTTGATCTTTGTTTTTGTAGGCCTCTTGGTTTATTCCTCAAACTTTGGAGCTCAGCAGGAGTGGTTGATTTCTAATTAGCGCAACCAGGGAAGTGCACCTAACTTAATCTCTAGCAGTGGCATTGACTTTGATTGGTTTAATTTGTGTTAAATTGAGACTTGTGGGTTTTGCTTTTATGTGGTTGTTTGTCTTGTGTTTGTTTTTATGCTTATGCTTGTGTTTAGTCTTGTTTTATTATGTGTAGGGTGTTTGATTTGGTAGGTCCAGTCTGTGTTTATTAATTTTTCGTGTAGACCTTTTCTGTGTTAGGCGCCGCGGCGCATTTGATCAGAAGCCGCGGCGCCTCGTCTGTTCAGAGTCCCCTTTCTGTAATAGGCGCCGCGGCGC